AAATTAAATGCTCAAGTATTATATGTGCATATTTATTCCTCAACTAATCATTGACTGTGCAAAATTATGATTCAAAAAGTCAATCATTAAAAAGTTGACAGAAACTGTTATCTTTCCATTAACCAGTTAACGGTTGACTATTTTGTTCCTTATTTCCTGCAGTCAACTATTAGTTGGGAAATAATTCTGCACAAGCAATACTTGAGTATTAAAACTTCCAATTTTAAATACATGTGTAATTAAATGTGCATTTTTCCGCGAATTGATAGTTATTAAAACAGAAGTCACAACCTTGATTCATGTGTGATATTTTAAAAAATTGACTCTCATTAGAAATCAGCTATCATTCATTTATTCCTAATAATATTTATTCATAATATAACAATCAACTCCTACAAAATCGGATTGGTTAACAAACACATACTTGATTCCTTAATAAATTATACATAGTGGTAATATAAACCATCGTATAGTTTTAAATATTGAACCGATTTAAATAATTCAACCAATGTATATATAATAATTGTATAAACATCTTATCTATTAAAATATAAATCATGACTTCTTTCAAGTGTGATTTTTTAATTTGGACCATCTTTTGAACTACTTAAATCATAATATCTTTTGATATCTTTTAATTTTAAATATAAATTTATTTTTTCAAAAAAATCTGTTTAAAAGATTTTAACAAGATCTTAATAATAAAAAATTCTGAGTAAATGTTTTAATAATTCATAATTAGTTTTAAAATATTATTATGCACTAATATATTTTATAAAATGTAGAATAAAAGTTTTAACTAAATATGATAAAATATATTAAGTTATTAAACTTATATATTTTATGTTCAGAAGTATTTATGTTCAAAATATAATATTTTGGTAACATGGGTTTAACATTCACAAACTATATAATACATGTATAAAATTAACATATTTTTATTAACGCTAATAATATAAAATATTTGTTAATATTTTAATCATAATATTTTTGAATTTTAATATATATATATATATATATATATATATATAATTCTAACAAATCTGTTGAATAATATTTTAACAATATCTTAATTTTCAAGAAGCTTATGTAAATATTTTAAATAATTTTGTAATTAGAAATGTACTATTATTATGCATTAATATATATTCAATTATTATAAAACATAAAATTATATATTATTTTATCTATTTTATAATAATAATAGTTCTTTTTAAAAGAAAATTATTATATTGAATTAGATATGATAAATTCTATTAAATGGATATTTTTATTTTCATAAATATAAAATATTTATGCTAAAAATATGATACGGTAACATAACGATTTAACATTCGCAAACTATATGATACATGTACAAAAATTTAACATATCTTAGATTTTTGTATATATGTACAAAAATTTAACATATCTTAGATTTTTGTATATACAAAGAATATATTTTTAAATGAATAAACTTGAAAAAATATTACTAAAAGGAAATATGACTTTGAAAGTTGGCGGGTCAGTAAATAAAATTTGATACATATGGGAAGAGCACCAACAGTGAACATAATCTTCTAGCTCTTGTAAGCTAAGTATTTGGATCCCAAATCCGTTTGATAGGTCTCCTAAGCCTTATCAAGAATCTTCCTGCAAATGCCTTTACCCTCCAGTGGACGGCTATTTTGATATGTAATACAGTAATAGCAATAATCAGAGAGAAAAAACTTACGCCAAACAAGTTCTTTAGAGCACTGAACATTTAGGTTATGGGATAAAAGTGGAAGAAATGTGCTCTTTTTCAATTTTAAGAGATTTCTCATCTCGGAGAAAGGACACTGATTAAAGGGATAAACATAGAGTTCCTATTCTTACTATGATTTAGACTTATCTGTAATATATGATACCTATCTAACTTAGGATCTTATCGGCTGTATATATACTCTTCGTATGTTATGAATAAACTCAAGCTTTCACAATATATTTCATGGTATCAGAGCCACCCGATGCTGGGCCACTCCGTGGATGTTGTTCCCACAGTTGTCCACGCATGAGCGTGAGGAGGAGTGTTAATGAATGAAACTAAGTCCCACATCGGTAGTTGGAGATATAATTAAGTAATATATAAAGGATTATGGCCAATCCACTTATCACCAATTGGTTTTAAGTTGGAAGCCTATAATAAACCCAAAGTTTACATGGTATCAGAGCCTATAAGCTCTAAATCTGCAATGAAATGCACAAAATCCTGAAAGAGAAATGCATCTTAGCTTTCATGCGTTGTTCATCACATAAGATATCAAAAATGGTTAGAGATAGAGGATGAAAACAAAACCTGAAAATGAATTGTTGATCTACACTTAAGGTAATAATGCTTCCAAAGGGATTTAAAGTTACAATTCTTAAGAGCCTAGCCAAGTCATTATGTGTAGCCTTCTCGTATCCGCAGCAAAGCAAAGGCCCGAAGTATGTCAAACCAGTAGGGGATTGCAAGAGAGAGATGAAGACGAAAGAGTAACTGATTGATATATTGATGAAGGCGTGATGACCTGATTTTAAGCTTGAGCATGAATCCTAATCCTAAGGAAAATGGATAGCTACGGCTCCAATGAAAACAATGCATTCTTTGAGATACTGTTTCACATCTGATTTGAAGGGCTTGGAGTTGAGATTGGCAGCGTTTACTCAGCATGTGGCGCCGTAAAGGTGAGGTCTTGCGTCTTATTAGCCACGACTTCTCGAGAGATGCAGATGAGGGTTGTAGTGAGGAAGAACCGATCAAATGAATCTTAAACTGGCGAGATATATGCAGTGCCTGAGATATACATAACGTCCATTTAGTGTTGGTCAATGGATTCACTGAATTAGAAGAAAGTAAATAACAGGAAGAGGTGGGGAAGATGAATCATCAGGAAGAAAGAACGACAATTAAGATGTTGACTTGAATTGAATGATACCGAGTGTTCGTGGTAACGGAAAATTGAAGAGAATTGAAACGATGGAGAAGAAGTGGAAGATCGGAATCGCACATCGCTTGCATTTGAAGATTTTGGTTGGAAGAGGTGGGTTTCAAATCGGCCATGGAAAACTATTAATAGCCCATAGGAATGGCTCAGATTATATTTGATCTAATAAAATATAAGACCATGTCCATGAATGAACCTCAGGGAAGGTTCACACGATCTCCAAAAAAAATAAAAAATAATGAAAAGCAGTGAATCTGTCTCTTGCAAGGTCCCGATAGTGAATCCGGTTCATCACTGTTTCGCGGATTCCACGCCACGTGGCGGTCCACGATTGATTCTATTATTATTATATTTTTAAAAATTAACAGAAAATAAAATAAAAGCAACTCGGGAATCGAGCCCTCTTGTTTGCTGATGGATATGCTCTAAGAATCTTTTTCTTTATTGTCCAGAATCTTCCCAAGGAAAAAAAAAAAATTAAAACTAGTTAGCTCACAAAAATTTCTGGTGTGTTTTAAATTTATCGTCATTTAAGGGTGATTAAATTTTATATTACTCTACTAGTTACAGTTTTACTTACTTTCTAATATTTTTTAAATATAGTGATAAAATGTATTTTTAGATATTACTTCAATACCTATTTCTATTCGGTTTAATTTATATGGTAACTTCTTTGTATTTGTTTGGTTATTTGAAATGTAAGAAATAATGGCTACTCATATAAGTAGCTAATTTTAGCTATAGAAAGTCTATGAATATTTGCTAATATTTATTTCATAATACTCATTAGTTAAAAAATTTCTCCGTTCGTTGAATTCGAAACAACTACGGTGAAACCTCTATAAACTAATAATGTTGGGACTACACCAAATTTTTATTTTTTTATTAATTTAGAGAGATATTAATTTATAGATATACTAATTGAACCAAAAACTCATTTTGGGACTATAAAATTATATTAATTTATAGAGATATTTAGTGTATATTAATTTATCGAGTATTAATTTATAGAGGTTTTACTGTATTAAGTATGGTTCCAACTTCTACTTAAGCAGAAGAAACAAATTAACACACTTTCTATATTCTTCATTTTTAAGAAAAAACTATTTTTGTGACTCAGAAAGTTGTGATATGAACAATCCGTCAATTTTTCGTGTTTTGTTGTTATTGTCACTTCTAGTTAAGAGACAAATTAATGAGCACAAATTCTCATCTCCGGTGGAACATCACTTTCACTGACGAAGCATATGAACGGTATGATACATCCATGATCCATCGCATTACACATGTTATTTTCGTCAAAAGTGACAGATTTATCTTGATTACAAATCAAACAAAACAAACTAAAGCCCTAAATTTTAAAAGAAAAATGTCAGTTACCAAAAGATTTGTAGTAACAAGTGCCTACTTCATAATATTTAATAGTTATATTTTGTGAAAAATATATTATATAATTATAAGAATCTAGATGTATAAATTTATATGATATTTTATATATTGAAATCAAATATCTCCAAATTATTTGAAGTGTTATATTCTAGTCTATTTAGCAGCTATTATCTACTATATATATACCATAAACAAAATATATATTTTGTAATTCAAACATTACTAAAATGTTATGATAAAAGAATAGATCTCTGGTTAGAAATGAGCCAATTAACTATGACGCTAATATGACTTGGAGTGGTTATATAGTAAAAAAATATTTTAATTTTTATAACAAAAAATAGTAATAGAGAATCAGTTACAGCGTAAGTTACTTCGCTTGGTTAGAATTATTTTGGTCTGTATAGTTACTTTATTTTCCATGTGCCAAATGAATATTAGTAAACTGTAAATGTTGAAACCTTTGTTTATAAATAGAAAGATTCGATTTGGTGAAAAAAGTTATATGAGTGGGCTTAGTTTAAAAAATTAGACGAAGCAATTTGCATTGAATGATCTCCCTCTATATAAACACATATTCATCGAGAGAGGATTATAATCAAACCCACAAAAAATATACGTAATATTTTTCTTTTTTAAAAAAGAGAGAGAGAAAGAGATATAATGGCAAAATACAAATCTACCGGGAAGCTAGAGCTAGAGTCTTCTGCAGTCGAGTTCATTGAACATTTAACCAGAAAGAAAAATCATGTTTCTTTATTTTATGCTGCTGGTAAAATGATCAACTCTTCCAATTTTTCATTTCATGTTTCCTGATCATCAGTCAAAACCTTTAATTAATTGCTATGTTTCACTGTAGTGGACTTGAGGTTCCAAGTCGAGCCGAAGGACTCGGAAACAAGAATAGTGACCGTGAACATACTTGGGAACCTAATCTCGGGAACCTACAAAACGGTCACAGCAACATTCACCGTTGGGGAAGACATGACAGCTAGCTGCCTGACGTACACCTTTGAGTTCGAGAAAATTAGATATAACATCGAAGATGCAAAGATCGTTGAATCTCTACTCACGTACATCCGTTTTAGCGATGTCAACTATAATAGGAAAGTTAAGCACAATTCCATTGACACTGGGTATCCGGCGGAAGAATGCTTCGAAGATTTCGTCAACGTATTTAAAGATGACCGTAAACTTTTCTACTTTGATTTATATAATTTAATTCATATTTACAGATTCAAACCCTAACATTTTTTTGTGTTCACCAAAAAGATGAGGTGGAGATGAGTGGTGTGGATTGGCAGAAAAGGACATTTACGATCAGCGTTCCTTCCATGATGGAAAATTTCAAGACGGTCAAAGTAACCATCACTGTTATTCCTAAGAACAAAGGTAGCCGCGTGAAATGGACCATCGAGGTCGAGAAGAATGATCAAGTCACCCAAGAACCGGACTCGTTCCTCTTCTTGGCCTTTTCTATCCGTGAGAATATCCACAGCCTGATTAGCCAGATCAAGTTTTGTAAATAAATGTTACAAACCGAAAGGTTCATCTACATATAGGACCGTCTAAATAAAGTGGCAGTATATCTATTTTTATTTGTCGACGTTTATTGCAGTATATGCATGAATTTCTTATAATAGTTGGTATTGGGAATGTATTATGTATGGACCCGATGATATATCGAAAAGGCTAATTATATTTAACCTTCCGCATTTCGTCACTGAGATATATGCTACTCACACATTAAGTAAGATTCTGAAAATTGTGTAGAAAGAAATTCTTAAACTAAATGCTTTATCATTGACCAAAAAATAAAAACATTAGTATAAGAATTGAGATTTATAAATACGTAAGACAATAACAATTGAAAGGGTCAAATGTAGATAAAGCCAATTCCCGTCTACTGCTAAATTAAATTGTGCATACTTTTTAACCAAAGAGACATTGATAATTGGTAGTAGCTATTATCCGAATCTTTTCATGATAAATTAACAAATAAAAGTTAAGTAATAGATATTTATTAACGAGACGTAACTAAATTTGTTACTTAATGTATGTAATGTTCAGGGCATTGGATAGAAATTAGAATTGGCAATATTCAACCTACAGAATGAAAAGTTAGATGGGTAAGGATTCAGTAAATTAGTTAATGTAATTGTTTGAAGCATCTCCAAAAAGACATTTTATTATAAAGTTTGCAAAACTCTATATTTGAAGTTCGAAGATGTTATGCTCCAAAAGCAAAATTTCAAACTTGACTCTAAAATTAATTGTATTTTATATAATAGTCTTTATATTTGTCATAATTAACTCAGATTCATAGAACTTTTTATAAATAACCATCACATGTATAAAAATATTATAGAAATATTATTTGATAAAATGTTACACTAAAATATAAAACTATAAATAGAAATATATAATTAAATATTAAATTACAAAAATACCACATTAAATCATGTAACATTGTTGTTATCTAGTTATAGTTTCAAAATATTTTAAAGATTATCTTGCTGTTTTTTTTTAAAAAACATATGTAAATTTTAAATTTATAAAAATAATTTTGAATTAGTTATGAGATAAAAAAATTTATGGATTAAAACGATAAATAATAAAATATTTAAGATTATTATAAATATGATGTGTAATTGTGAGTATCAAAATGCAAATAAAAATATGAAACTTCAAATTTGAAGTTTTGAATAGTGGCACTATGTATTTGAAGTTTCACTTCTCAATACTCAAAATTTCAAATTTAAAGTTTTAGAATTTCTTTTTGGAGCATCTCCAAAAAGACACTCTATTTTAGAGTTTGCAAAACTCTATTTTTGAAGTTTGAAGGTGTTCTTCTCCAAAAGCAAATTTCAAATCTAATTTAAACTATTTATATTTTACTCTATGGTCCTTATATTTGTCATAATTAATATAAATTTATAACTTTTTTTATAAATAACTAGCACATATATGAAAAAACATAATAATAATATTAATTAAAAATAATTACTCTAAAATATAAAATTATAAATAGAAATACATAACTAAATAATAAACTACAAACAAAATATCACATTATTTTATAAAATTATTTCCATAATGCTCCATTTTCAGTTACACAAGACTTATTTGGACAATATTTCGGAGATTTTGAAGGTTTCAGAACAAATTTACCATACTTTTAATACTGTTGTAATATTTAAATTTATGTAATAACTATGTTTTCATTCACCTTTTTAAAACATTTTTGAAAAGTTTCTTTTGTAATATTTGTGAAGTCTAGTTTTAGTTTTAAAATAATATAAATCTTATGTTAAAGTTTTATGTATAAAACTTAAATTTATAAAGACAAATCTCAAATATTTATAAAATATAAAAAAATTAAGGATTAAAATGTTAAAGGAGAAAATACTGAAAATCATAAATATAATATATAATTAATTGTAAAGACCAAAATGCAAATAAAAAGATGAAACTTGAAATTTTAAGTTTTGAGAATTGAAACTTCAAATATGAAGTTTCACTCCTCAAAACTTTAAATTTGAAGTTTCTTTTTGAAGAGCAAAAAACTCTATATTTAGTGTTATAGAGTATCTTTTGGAGATACTCTTATAACTTTCTATTTATACATAACCACATTCATTGAGATAGTGGGTGGGTGGGTGATAAGTAAAACTAAATAATGTAGTTTATAAAAACAACAAAAATGGAAAACATCAAAGTTTGTCACCCTTCAAAGCTGTCAGGTAGAATCTTTGTTATTTGCAATGCGTGACAAGGAAACTTCTTGCTGGTTTCCAGTTGTTTACTATGTTCTTTCAATATCCGCTAGGAAGGGACTTACATTTCCTCACATTGGTTTAATAGTTGCCTTTGGCATACTCACATGGACACTGCTCAAGTAAATGCTTCATCGTTTTCTTTTCCACATTAAAAGTTCAAAACGAAGAGTTATTGGTTAGTTCAGTATCCCTACTTATCAACAACAAGAAAAAAAAAAACAAGTTTCATCACAAAGCTGATTCTGTCCCTCTTTTTCTTTAGAGCAAACACTGCACACTATCTTCATAAATACCATCATAAGCACTCACAAGACGGTTTTCGTCTTGTTTTCCCTCCTACTGCAACAGCTATTCATTTGGTTCCAGTAAATATCTCTAATTGATCCAAAGCTGTAGTTTTTTCTTTCATTCTTTTGTTTCAAAATTAGAAAACTTATATCGTTGTTCTTCATCATTTTCTATAATGTGTTAGCTATGGAAGTTTCTCCATCTCATCGCTGCTTCTGCTACAGCTCCTGTTATATATGTATGATATTACCTAGGGTCGTGCCTGATATAAATAATATTAGAAGCATGCAAAAAAGATTTTGGCCCTATAAACAATATAAAAACAAAAAAAAAGGAAATAAGTGCTATAATTTAACAAATGGAGACTTTAACTTGAGACCTTTCACACACATTACCAATTGAGTTTAACCATTAGAACTAATTGATCTTTATATTTTTTTCCCTTAAATTATTTTTAACTTTATGAGCCCTCAAGCTAATGCTTGATTAGCCTATATCCAGGCACGGCCTGATGTTATCCATTACTATCTACACCATGGCTAACCTAAAGAGCCAACTTTCACACATCTCAAGGTAAGAAGAGACCATTTCTAAACAAAATTTCGTTGTGATCTTCTGAATATGCTTATGAGTTTTGGTATACGCTTTACAGAAGTACCACCTGAATCCTCACTTTAAAATTCATAATAAAGGATATAGATTTACTGCATCTCTGTGGGACAAAGTCTTTGGTACACTTCCCGGCATGAAGGCTGCTGAAAAGAAGAGCTAAACCAGGGGCGGATCTTCTTAAGGTAAGTAGTGGGCAGCTGCCTCCCATCAAATTTTAATCTTTCCTTTAAATGTTAAAAGGAAAATTAAGTTGCCCCCTCCCCCTTGAAAAATAGTTTCTGCCCCCTTTTCTAACTTAATTTGTTCTCAAATCTTAGTGTAATATTATTTCCCTTTTTTTAAAGGCCATTTATTATATTTGGTATTAGCATTACCACGTTTCCTTATTTTATTTGTGAATATTTAACCACTATTGCCTAAATAATAACTTGTTGATGGTTTTTGTAAATATCAAATCAAAATTTATTTATCTAATATATAAGAATAAACATTTTTAGTTTATCATGATACACTCAGTGGTGATGAAATTGTTTTTTTAAATAGTTAAATAAATACTTCTCTTGAGGAAATGTTTTTTAATTATCTGAATATATATATATATATATATATATATATGTATTTATATATGTCACACCAAGAAAAACATGAAAATTTTGTTTTCTAATTGTTTTTTGCAAAACTGAATTTTTATTTACATTTATATACAAAAAGAAATATGAGGTTTACATCCCTATTAATAATTTTTATTTAAATTATTATTTTCCCCCCGATGAAATATTTTTTTAGATCCGCCATTGAGCTAAATCCGATTTTTGTTTGCCATTGCGAGTGGTGAAAAATTCACTGATCTTGTGGATTCTGATGCATGAGGTGATTCAATGACTGTTTAACTGTTGTATACTAGTTATAACCATATTTGAACATATCTAATATCTAATGGTGTCTAAACTAAACCTCTCTCTGTTTATAAACCATGATACTTTTTACGGTCTGGTCAGAGAATATGGAAATCAAATCTGTTTATTTTCTATTAAGTTTGGTCTTTGTATCGACTGTTGTTGTACATATTTACTTCAAGAAGACATATACTCACTTCAAAACATAAAGTCAACTGGTTGTTTTGAGAAATCAAAACATATGAGAAATACTCTGTTCGTTCCTGAAGTTTTTTTGGATCCAACTTTTATCCCCTCTTTAACAAAACCCAATTTCTTCAAAATTACCTCTATTAGAGTGTTCACCCAATTTCTCTGGATCTTTATTACTAAAACCTGTGATTTTTGTTTTTACTTTTAGTCAAAATGCAGATGATTTTTAGACTTATTCTTGGGTTCACCCCCTAGGGTGAACCTCTAGGTTCACCAAGCAATAGGATGATGTTATTTCATATTTGATATCTTTTAAAAAATGAAATAAAATCTTGTTAAGTTGTATTATGTTATAAAAATAAATAAAATAATGATATTTAAAAAATCGAAATTTTTTTAATTTTTTTTTTAACATTATATTATGTTTTAAATTAAAAAGAAAAAAATAAAATAAAAACAGTAATAATTGGAAAAAAATAATTTTAAAAAATAATTTAATATATCATTAAAATGAAAAGAAAATATTGTTACATTATATTAATTTTATTGATTTAATATTTAAAAATCAAAAAAATAAGAGAAAAATAAATAAAAACAGTATAATTGGTTAGTATTAATTTTATTGATTTAATGTTTAAGATTTTCCCAAAGGGTTTATGATTTACCCAAGGGTTTAGGATTAGGGTTTAGGGTTTAGTGTTTATGATTTAACCAAGGGTTTAGGGATTAGGATTAGAGTTTAGGGTTGAGTGTTTTAGTGTTAAAATAATTATTTTAATTTTTTTTTTAAAAAGTTATCTAAACATTTATGATTTACCCAAGGGTTTAGGGTTTAGGATTAGAGTTTAGGGTTTAGTGTTAAAATATTTTTTTAAATGATTTTCGTTTTTATTAACATAATTATTTATTATTTATTTTTGTATTTTTATTTTTAAAGACATAATATAGTTTAGCAAGATTTTGTTTCCTTTTTTAAAAGATATCAAATATGAAATAATGCAATCCTATTGGATGATGAACCTAAAGGTTCACCCTAGGGGGTGAGCCTAAGAATAACTCGTTATTTTATACTTGATATCTTTTAAAAAAGGAAACAAAATCTTGTCAAATTATATTATGTTTTTAAAATAAAAATAGAAAAATAAATAAAAATAGTAATATTTACAAAAAACGAAAATAAAAATCATTAAAAAATATATTAACATTATATTGTTTTAAAATAAAAGATAAAAATAAAATAAAAATAGTAATAATTGCAAAAAACAATTTAAAACAAAAAATATTTTAATATATCTTTAAAATAAAAACATGTGGTTAAAATAAAAAGATAAAAATAAATAAAAAACAGTATAATTGGTTAGTATTAATTTACCCAAGGGTTAAGATTTTTCCAAAGGGTTTATGATTTATCCAAGAGTTTAGGGTTTAAGATTAGGGTTTAGGGTTTAGTATTAGGGTTTATGATTAGAGTTTAGGGTTTAGTGTTAAATATTTTTTAAAAAATTTATTTTTCGTTTTTAATATTATTATTTTTTATTTATGTTTTGTATTTTTATTTTAAAAACATAATATAACTTAACAAGATTTTATTTCCTTTTAAAAAGATATCAAATATAAAATAACAACATCCTATTGGTTGGTGAATCTAGAGGTTCACCCTAGGGGGTGAACCTAAGAATAACTCTGATTTTTATCTGATGGAAAACTATTAATGTTAACTAATTTTTGAGTTAAATAATTTATGAGAAATTTCTTCACAAATATATAGTTTAAAATTAAATGACCAAAATAAACTTAAATGTTTATAAAAAATGAGTAAATATATATTTATACTTTTTGGGTTAAATAATCGTAGACATTTTTGTTTAGAGTTGAGAAGTGTAGTTGTAGGATATGATTTCAAATTTTTAAAAATTTAAAAAATTTCAAATTATAAAATTTTATTTTATTATTTTAGTTTTTAAAATCTATTTTTGTGATAAAAACTTTAAAATATTTATTTGAGAGAATTACTCATAATAATTTATTCTTAAAAAGAAAGTTGATGAGTTAGTTTGGGAGGAAATTTACTAATAAAAGTCCTTATCTCGAGTATATAGAATCTATACTATTATTTGCGAAGTGATTTTTCGCAACGGAGTTCTCACGTTAAAAGTTGAAGTGGTTAATATCGTTTATATCCTTAATGAATAATTAAAATCGTTTTAATATATAATTAACTATAAATAAAAATGAATTTCAGTGGTTTAAGATTTATCCTTATCTAAAAATATTTTCTAATGTTTTAAATAGTCTTTATTAATCTTGAAAATAGTTTTATTTGTTAATATATAATTAATTATAAATTAAAAACGAATTTCATTAATTTTATATTTATCCTTATCTAATTTGTTTATATTGTGTTATAAAATCTTTATTATCATTGAAAACTAATTATATTTGTTAATCTATAATTTATCATTAATTAAAAAAACTCATTCATTTGATAATTATAGATTTATCTTTATCTAAAAATATTTTCTAATGTTTTAAATAGTCTTTATTAATCTTGAAAATAGTTTTATTTTTTAATATATAATTAATTATAAATTTAAAACGAATTTCATTAATTTTATAATTATCCTTATCTAATTTGTTTATATTGTGTTATAAAGTCTTTATCAACATTGAAAACTAATTATATTTGTTAATCTATAATTATTATTAAATATTTTGAATATATAAACAATAACTTATTTCAATGTTACTTAAATTGATTACATATTTATTTATAGATATTTGTAAAATCATTAAGCCCGCATGTGTGGCCAAAAACACCTAGTGAATCTATACATTGATGACCAAAAAAAAAAAGAATGAATCTACAGATTACAATGAGTCCAAAATAATACAGTTATCAATTAGAGCAAGCAAGCAAGCAACCGATGAGAGTAAGCCACCTCCATTGACATAGCCCAGAACACTAGGCAGAAGGACTCAACACGAGTCACCCAATTCGTTATAGTGACTCAGCTCTTAATTTACCAAAATACCCCTAACACTTAATCAGCACATGGATATGAGTCAGATTCACGGCGTGTTCTTCAAAGGCCCGTCGTTTTCTACTTATTGGGCTTCTTCTCCTTCCTCCACGTCACTCTCTCTTCCTCGCCATTTCATCTCTTCTCCGTTGTTTCTTCATCATCGAAGACTCAAATCCTTCAATACAAGAAGAAGAAGAAGCTCCTCTCGCTTTCGCTCTCGATTAAGACGGAGCGGTTCCTCGGCGATGCCTTGCTCTTCTTCTGAGACTCTCACGGCTTCTCGCGTCGATTGTGGCGGCGGAGGTGGAGGCGGAGGCCGTGTCGCTTGCGCTGGAGCTGATAACAACGCTTCTGTAGCTAATTTCAAGCTTAACGAATCAACCTTCCTTGCTTCTCTCATGCCTAAGAAAGAAATAGGGGTGGATCGCTTCCTTGAAGCTCATCCTGAGTACGATGGTCGCGGCGTAGTTATCGCTATCTTCGGTACTTCCTTCTCTTTTTTTTTTGATATTTGAAGCTAACTGTTAGTCTAGGTTGTTTATACTGGATCAGGTTAATAGAGAGATTGATTGGTTCTGAACACGTTACTGTCATTTATATTTATAAGTAAGATTATGAATTATGATTGAGGAACTGAAGATTTGAAATTTGGTGTAGATTCTGGTTTTGATCCTTCTGCTGCTGGCTTGCATGTAACATCTGATGGAAAGCCAAAGGTTCTCGACGTCATTGACTGGTATATTCGTTATTTTCTTGTTCTTTACTCTTCGGAATGAATTTGACCTGATGGTGTCCTTTTTTTATCACTCAGTACTGGAAGTGGGGATATAGATACTTCCACAGTGGTGAAAGCCAATGAAGATGGTCTCATTCGTGGAGCATCAGGTTGATCATTTTATCTCTGCATATGATAGTTTTCTTGCTTTCTCTTCATTCTCTAGCTATGACATACGTTGATCATTTCTTTTGTTTAAAAATATTTGTTGCAGGGGCACCGTTGGTTGTTAATTCTTCATGGAAAAACCCCACTGGAGAGTGGCGTGTAGGTTGCAAGTTGATTTACCAGCTATTTACTGATGAGTTAACTTCTCGTGTTAAGGTAGCCATTACAGACGTGATCCTTTCTTGGTTTGCTGGATTAGTTATATAGATTCGGAAAAGCTTAAATCAAAGTTTTGTGTAACGGATCTGCAATGTTATTGTCTAAGACTTCTATCTGTCTTTCTTGTTACACAGAAAGAGAGAAGGAAAATATGGGATGAAAAGAATCAGGAAGAAATTGCAAAGGCTGTAAAGATTCTGTATGATTTCGATCAGGTGATTCGGAGATACTGAATTTGGTTTGCTGTATTGTGAATGTTGTGAGTTTGACACTGCTGTTCAAATTGTATCTTGACCTCATTTTTCATTCTTGACTCCAGAAGCATAGCAAAGTGGATGATGCAAAACTGAAGAAGACACGCGAAGACCTCCAAAGCAGAGTTGATTTCCTGAAGAATCAATCTGATGTAAGTTTAGCGACTTTCCTTTACAAGTTTTATTCGAATTATACTTGTTCACTGTTTTCTTGAATCTGTACTGTAAATGCATTGTTTTCCTGCAGAAATATGAAGACAAAGGGCCTGTTATTGATGCTGTTGTGTGGCATGATGGAGAAGTATGGAGGGTTGCACTTGATACGCAGAGTCTTGAAGAAGATCCAGATTGCGGGAAACTAGCAGACTTTTCCCCCCTCACTAATTACCGGCAAGTCTTTCCTTATATATCTATCTCTGACTAAATTTAGAAAGTTTTTGCTTGGGAGTTTTCCAGTCTCACTTTAATTTTCGATGCCAATCTAATTAATATGTAAATCAGAATTGAGCGGAAGTACGGCGTGTTTAGCCGACTAGATGCTTGCTCCTTTGTTGCTAACGTGTATGATGAGGGAAAGGTCCTAAGCATTGTGACCGATAGTTCTCCACATGGCACTCATGTTGCTGGGATAGCTACTGCACACCATCCGGAGGTGCTAACTCATCTATATAAATTATTTATATTGTTAATTTGTTACAGTCAGATAACTGTCTTTCTATGTGTATGTTAGGAATACTTGTTAAACGGTGTGGCACCTGGTGCACAAATAATATCTTGTAAAATTGGAGACTCTCGGTTAGGGTCAATGGAGACCGGAACTGGCTTGACACGGGCATTGATAGCTGCCCTGGAGGTAATAATTTATTCAAGTGACAGTGGTATACCATTTGCTGAAAATGCATTTGTAACTTCCTAATATTATATTACTTGGAAGTTTGAACAAAACAAGTGGTGAGTAGGGATTGTCTGGAAAATTTCCATGTCTGTGTGGACTCGAGACTGTTACATATGACTGCTTTGCACTGACAGAGTTATTACGTTTTTCGTATATACTGACTTCTGTTGTAATGTTACAGCATAATTGTGATCTTGTCAACATGAGCTATGGAGAGGCTACATTACTTCCAGACTATGGGCGCTTCGTTGATCTTGTTACTGAAGTACCATCCAAACTCTTGTATTTGTTAGTCAGCACTTGTTGATTGTGTTTTATGCTTTTTCATCTTACTTTTGTTGACATTCTGTTATGTTTTAGGCTGTGAACAAGAGACGCCTAGTATTTGTAAGTAGTGCTGGCAACAATGGCCCAGCGTTGACAACAGTTGGGGCACCTGGTGGAACAACTTCCAGTATCATTGGTATTGGTGCATATGTTTCTCCTGCAATGGCAGCTGGTGCCCATTCGGTGGTGGAACCTCCCAGTGAGGGGCTTGAGTACACTTGGTAAATTCACATTTTTCCGTTCTTTTGATCTATTCTATTGCCAGTTGTAGCTAGCATGAAATTATTATTGTTATATTGTAGGTCAAGCCGGGGGCCAACCGCTGATGGGGATCTTGGTGTCTGTATAAGTGCACCTGGTGGGGCTGTTGCTCCTGTTCCTACATGGACGCTTCAAAGACGTATGCTCATGAATGGAACATCGATGTCATCTCCTTCTGCCTGTGGAGCTATTGCGTTACTTTTAAGTGCTATGAAGGTTTCTTCTCCAGCATTATATTTTCCTCTTGGCAAAATTGTTTTTTTTTCCTTTTTTTCAGCGAATGTTTCAGCTGCTGAAATTCGTTCATGATCTGCAGGCTGAAGGCATCCCAATTAGCCCGTACAGTGTAAGAAGGGCCCTTGAAAATACATCAACTCCTGTAGGTGATCTACCTGAAGATAAACTAACTACTGGACAAGGGCTAATGCAAGTTGATAAGTAAGGTTCTATAACCTGTTAGTAATTTGACACGATATTTTAAATAGTTAGGTCTAATTTATTTTGTTGTGGCAGGGCGTATGAATACTTGAAACAGTTTAAGGACTGTCCATGCGTATTTTATCAGATAAAGGTCAACCTCTCGGGAAAAGCAAGTATGTAAAATATTTGTTTTTAAGTTTTCAAGGTAGAAAGTTATTGGAACCTTGCTTGCTGAAACATACCCCACACTCTCATTGAAGATAAACATTTTAAGTGAATGTATTGATTTCCATCATATGTTTTGCAAATGCATCGCAGTGGTAGTGTCTATGTGTAGCTGCTAATCTAAAAGGTCTTACATGCTTTTGGCTGGGGGAAAGTTCCCTCAGTTTTTTTTCTTTTTCGACAAAATATGAACTTTTTTTTCTTTTAAGAAGATTATGAATTCTATAAACACAGCTCCAACATCACGGGGCATCTACCTGCGGGAGGCTTCTGCTTGCAGACAATCCACAGAGGTGAGCTGTTGCTATATCACCAGAATATCTTAGTATGCATAGTAGTCTGCTCAAATGCCTTCTAACTTATTTTCTATATGAATAGTCATTATCTTCATAAGACATGCCATATTCATCCTTTTTGTGGAATAATTTCTTGGATGCCCTGTCATGGAGTCAGAAATTTCCTCCACAAACTTGATCTCCTTCGGGATAATGTATTTCACTTTCAGAATTTGTAATCCCTCTTGTCTGTTATGTGAAACAAGCATAGTTTTGACTTTACAGTGGACGGTACAAGTTGACCCGAAGTTCCATGAAGGCGCAAGTAATTTAAAGGAACTTGTGCCTTTTGAAGAATGCGTTGAGTTGCACTCCACAGATGAAGGAGTTGTACGGGTTCCTGATTATCTACTTCTCACTCATAACGGACGTAGCTTCAAGTTAGTGTTTTCAATCCTATATCTAGCTGCTTATGTTTGTTGTTTTCTTGCCACGTTAGCTCTATAATATGATTCTATCATCTTTTTCAGCGTCGTTGTGGACCCCACAAATCTTGGAGATGGTGTGCATTACTTTGAAGTTTATGGGATTGATTGTAAAGCTCCACAACGTGGTCCTCTTTTCAGAATCCCAGTGACAATAATAATTCCCGAGACTGTGGCGAATCAACCTCCTGTTATTTCATTTCAACAAATGTCTTTCGTCTCAGGTTATTGTTTGTGATTTTTGTAATGTGTGATTTATACAACAAACAAGTCCTCTTAAATGGCTGCCAGTTTTTAATGTTTTTTTTTTGTTTCTCAATAACTCTAATCGCAGGCCACATTGAACGAAGATATGTCGAGGTACCACTTGGAGCGTCATGGGCTGAGGCTACAATACGAACTTCAGGGTTCGATACTACGCGGAGATTTTATATTGATACTCTTCAGGTAAGACACGTTTAAGCAGACTACATGTCTTTGATGCTTTTGGTTCTAATCGTTACTTGATTTGCAGCTTTGCCCATTGCGAAGGCCGATCAAGTGGGAGAGCGCACCAACTTTTGCATCTCCCTCTGCTAAAAGCTTTACGTTTCCTGTGGTTAGTGGTCAAACGATGGAACTAGCTCTAGCTCAGTTCTGGTCCAGTGGCCTTGGAAGTCGTGAACCAACTATCGTTGACTTTGAGGTAAGAACTAGGTACTGATAGTTATATATATATATATATATATATATATATATATATATAGATATATGTGTGTGTGTGTGTGTGTGTGTTTTACTGTCTTTTACGTTATAAGATCTTTTTCCCCCTTATTTTTCATTCGGACTGGTTCCCTAACTTTGATTTAAATTTCTCATGCTAGTGTATCTCTTGACCCATTTTGATGCATTTCTTATTTCTTTCTGCAATTTGGCTCCCTTACCAACTTTAGCCTCAATTTAGTTGAACGTTAGGTATCTGGATTAGCAATAAGCACCCTTGCATATGCATTCTCATTTAAGAATTGTTTGGAAACGAACTTCAGATTAATAGTTTTAAAATGTGTTATTGACCAGTCTTCATGTTGTCACACTAAGTTCTATGTTCATGTCGCTCAGGCCTCTATTGGCTACATTTGAACTTGTTAGACATGAGTTGATGTAAGTTATGTGTGTATTCGAGATTTAATTCTTTTGAATTGGTGTCAATAGGAATGGTTTTGTAAACGACTTTCAGGTGAATAGGTATAGAAAATGTGTTATTGACCAGTCTTCAAATGCTGTCACACTAATGTTCTGTGTTCAAGTCGCTCAGGCCTAACTAACTGTATCGAGTGCATTGTGACTTGTTAGACATGAGCTGATGCAAATTATGTGTTTTTTCTAGATTGAATTTCATGGAATTGGTGTCAATAAAGAAGAGTTGATACTTGATGGAAGTGAAGCACCAATAAAAGTGGAAGCTGAAGCACTATTGGCATCTGAAAAACTCGTTCCCGTAGCTGTTCTGAACAAGGTACATTGTGTACGGAGATGGTATCTTCTCCTTTTTCTCTAATTGTTTTTAGACTTGCTTATGGATGGTGTTTTGTCTTGACTGAAGATACGAGTTCCATGTCAACCGATTGATGCACAACTCAAGACTCTATCAACTGGGCGCGATAGACTACTGTCGGGCAAACAGATACTAGCATTGACATTAACGTGGGTTATGCTTCTGCCTTTTAGTGTCCTTGGTTGCTTATTGTATCTATCAAAAAATCTCCACTAATTCTCATCTTTTTGTTTCTGCAGCTACAAGTTCAAATTAGAAGATGCAGCTGAAGTGAAACCTTATATACCCTTATTGAACAATCGCATATATGACACTAAATTTGAGTCCCAGTTTTATATGATCTCTGATGCCAACAAGGTACTCTTCGAACTGCCACATAAATGACTTGGTAGTACAAGTATAGACTAGCTTGTAAATTCTCATTGGATTTATCAACTAAAACCTTATGTAACGGACTTTATGAATCCCTAGTTCTATTATGTACTGTGAAAACGCGTTTCTGCTTTCTTGCCTTAACATATTGTCCTGATGTTTTTCAGCGTGTATATGCAATGGGGGATGTTTATCCGGAGTCTTCTAAACTTCCTAAGGGAGAATATAAACTTCAGCTGTATCTAAGGTTTGTGCTACATCTTGTATGGTTGCAGTTTGTTTTAAAATTTGAAAAGTTGAGCTTGTACACACGAAATTTCCAGCCAGAACCAACCTCTGTAAAATATATCTCATGGTTGATAACTTTGTTTCACAGTTATGTATTTAGTCTTCTAATCTAAAAGCTAATTGCTTTCACCAGGCATGAAAATGTGCAGTTGCTGGAAAAGTTGAAGCAGCTCACTGTGTTTATGGAAAGAAATATGGGGGTAAGATTTTGATTATCTTTTAATTTATTTTGAGAAGCTAGATGTAATCATTTTCAGCAGAAAAAAAAAAGTGAAAAAAAGTTGGGAGTTAGATCTTTGCGTGTATTCTGATGTTAATGTTTTTATTTTTGGACACATTATAATTCCTGCGAGCTAATTTTAAATCTATTTTGCTGGTGATGTAGGAGGTTCGGCTGAACTTACACTCTGAACCAGATGGCCCAGTCACAGGAAATGGTGCTTTTAAATCTTCTGTTCTAATGCCAGGGTACTCTTTTAATGCATATACTAGTTTAAAGTTTTTCTAGCCACTGCTACTTTGGTTCTCTGGTTGTGTTACTCACCTCATCCATCACCTGCAGAGTGAAGGAAGCGTTTTATGTGGGCCCACCAACAAAGGATAAGATACCCAAGGTTAGTAGATCGTTGACAAGTATAACTAATGTTCTGATGCATCATATTCCTCACAAATGCACACTTTTAACTTCACTTGCAGAATACTCCCCAAGGATCTGTGTTGGTGGGAGAAATCTCATATGGGAAATTGTCATTTGATGATAAAGAAGGGAAGAATCCAAAGGATAATCCTGTATCTTATCCGATTTCGTATGTGGTTCCACCAAATAAGGTATCTAAAAACTTCATTTCTTGCCTGGCTTTCCCATAGGCTAGTGATACTTGATGCAGTGCGATCTGGCTACAGGGATTCATACTTTGTGTTTAGCTTTATCTATTTTTCTTCCCTTGTACTCCAGCTTTTCTAAATTTTTGATGTTGTTTTGTTCTTTACTCAATAGCCTGAGGACGACAAGAAGGCAGTTTCTTCCACAAATAGCTGTAAATCAGTATCAGAACGCTTGGAACAAGAGGTATTATTTGCAGAAGCATGTTTCATATGTGATTCAAAGTCGAATGTTCTATTATGTAATTGAGTCAAGTACTTGTTTTGTGAATATTGAGGGGTGGGTTTTTTTTGCTACACTATCTTACGAAATCATTTTCTTAATCAGGTTCGTGACACAAAGGTCAAATTTCTTGGGAATCTAAAACAAGAAACTGAGGAAGAGCGTTCAGAGTGGAAAAAGTTGTGTGCGTGTCTCAAGGTGTGCCAAGCTAAAAGGCTTTTCTTTTTTGTTCGTTTTCAAGAATGATTTGTACCATAACGTTGGAAGTTGAAAAAAATATCCAAATCCGAAATGACTAACTTGAGCATGTGTTCCTTGGCAGTCTGAATACCCAAGTTACACTCCGTTGCTTGCTAAGATCTTGGAAGGTTTGCTATCTCGGTCTGAAGGTGGGGACAAAATCAGCCATCACGAAGAGGTAAAGTTTCGAATGAGTTCCTAATCTCAAATTTGTTGCACTTCCTTCTCTACTTATACTGTCTTCAAATTATTAACGCTCAATAATCTTCAGATTACTCATATCTTTAGCGTTTATAAATGGTATGAGAAATTACGCTGAAAATATATTCTCTCCTTTTTTTGCAGGTTATTGATGCTGCAAATGAAGTAGTACGCAGTGTTAACGTAGACGAGTTAGCAAGATTCTTGCTAGACAAAAGTGAACCAGAAGATGAGGAAGCAGAGGTGTGATATCTTATCTATTACGTTTTATTAACTAGCTACTAGCTTTTATTTACGACTCTGATGACCACCAACTACTTTGCTATTGTTTGTTCAAACTAGAATTTAAAGAAAAAAATGGAGATGACCCGTGACCAACTGGCAGAAGCATTATACCACAAAGGGTTAGCCATGGCGAGAATCGAGAATTTGAAGGCAAGACCAAATATATGATCTCACTTTTTTATATTTATCTGCCTACGGATAGTTAATGATTGTGTTAATATGAAAGTACGAGAGGTGTCATTAGCATTTTTAGCTAATTTTGGTCAACAACACACTACTTATTTGTTTGCAGGGTGAGAAGGAAGATGAAGGAAGTAGCCAAAAGGATAAATTCGAAGAGAATTTCAAAGAACTGACAAAATGGGTGGACGTGAAATCATCTAAGTTCGGCACTCTCACTGTTCTAAGAGAGAAACGGCTCTCACGGCTCGGAACCGCATTGAAGGTAAACACAAGGAAACTGCAATTGATGATCTCATCTGAAATCACATGATTCTAAAAACTAGTTGATTATGTGGTTTTCAGGTACTTGATGAGTTGATCCAAAACGATAACGAGACTGCTAATAAGAAACTATACGAACTGAAACTGGATTTACTGGAGGAGTTAGGTTGGAACCATTTGACTACGTATGAGAAGCAATGGATGCAAGTTCGTTTCCCTACAAGCTTACCTCTCTTTTAGTTGATCTTAATGCTTCTAATAAAGTTATTTTCCTTTCAATAAAAGGCTTTTTGTTCTGAAGCCCAACCTACTGTTTCGTTTCCTTTCTTCAGAAACCGTGTGTACAATATATTTCAGTTGTGATCAGTTTAGTGTTTGTATTTCATTATAATATTTAGCTTTTTTTTTTATTGTCAACAGTTTTAAGCTTTTCTATTTTAGAAGTTGCAAAGAAAAAAAAAGTTGGTTACCAAACATTAGCGTAAGTAGCCTTGAAGATGACTAATGTAAATTAAAAAAAAAAATTGATAGATGTATGAAGGAGATGGGTTATATTTCTCCATGAGGTTGGAGAAGTTTAATCCAATGTGATAATGTATTCGGCCCACTAAATGCGTAAGAAATGCCTCGAAGACGTGTCTAGTAGCGCGACTAAGAGTGTTTTGGAAGAGTTAGCAGAAGCATGATTTACCCAGGTTACTAAACGGGTCCAACGAGAATAAAGCCCAACAAGGCTCGGGTAAACTAGGGCGAACATGAAGATAGGTCTATAAAAGGAGAGAGGCAGAAAGGGTAAAGGGGATCACACTTCGACATACACACTAGGCGGCTAGATCTAGGGTTTCATAGATACTAGGTGGTTAGATCTAAGGTTCTCTTACGTTCACAGATACTCACCACTTTGTATTCCTCCGGCCTGCTCTCCGAGCTCCAGCTAGTTCGCCTCTTTATTTACCTCCTTTTAACCTCTTGTTCAGATTTAATAAAGAGCGTCTTTGTTCGCCCCATCTCACTCTTTATATTGTTTCTAAACCATTTTCACCTCAAACAATTTGGCACCCACCGTGGGGCTCTGAACAAAGCAACGTTATCAGATCTATGCCAGACGACGGAACCGTCTCCGGAACAGCCGGGGAGGAGTCGACTCAGACTCCCGCACCCGAAACACCCCTTCCGCCCGACTTCATGAGCTCCGTCATGGCGCGTTTCGCCAGACAAGACGAGATCCAAAAGGAGACTCAAGCGCAATTCGTCGCGCTCGTCGCAGCAATAACAGCAGCTCCTGCCGGGCAGACGAGTAACTCTCAACCGTTCCGACGTCATCTCTTCAACACTAACCCTACGGCGCAGGTAGCCGACCACACCTCGGAAGAGTCGGAACCCACCGAGCCTCACGCTGCAGAAACAGCTCAAGTCGGCTCAGATCTCACGACTATCCGTGAAATCGCCGAGCTCAAACTCAACCTTCAACAGATGAGCTCCACGATTCACAAGGTTACTAGCGCCGCTCCACAGATCGAGAGTGTCCTCGCTTCAACCGAGCGTACCCCATTTACCAGTACGCTGACTAGCGTAAACTTCCGCAAGATCGAGAAGCTGCGTGTTCCGCAATACAAGCCCGGCGGCGATCCTGTAGAACATATGACGGCTTTCAACATCGCGATGGCCCGAATACGACTACCCGACGACGAAAAGGACGCCGCCTACTGTCAGCTGTTCGTGGAAACACTTCACGACCAAGCCTTGACCTGGTTCTCAGGCCTCAAGGAGAACTCTATCAGCAGCTTCAGGGAACTCTCGTTGGCTTCCTCAAAACCTACATCATGTTCACTAAGCGCGAAGCGACGGCCTCCAGCTTGTGGAACCTAAAGCAGACCAAGGACCAAAGTCTCCGAGACTTTATGGAGCGCTTCAAGTCGATCGTCTCAAAGATCGACATCCCTGACCACATAGCCGTCGACGCTCTGATGAACACCCTCCATCTCGATTCCAAGTTCCGAGAGGACCTATACCGAAGCACCTCCATGACGCTTCAGGACGCCATTGCTCGTTCACACAACTTCATCCGCATGGAGGAAGACACGAAAGCAATCATGGGCAAACATAACTCAGCAAAGCCGACAACGCCCAAGACCGCCGACGCAAAGCCGGAGCCGCGTCAACACGCTTCCAGCGACAAGAAACAACAAAAGAGCGGGCTTTTGTTTGTCGTTAACGAGAACAACACACCAGTCGCAAGCTTCTCAGTACGCGGCGAGCCATGGAATGTGTACAACCGAGAGACGGCAGCCCTGAAAGGTTTGGCTAGTCCTGCCGGACCGGCTCAACCCGCGTCGCCGGCTACCTCAGGGGCCGGATCTTCTAAAGGAGTCGACCTCACCAAACACTGTAAGTACCATGACGTCAAAGGACACGATACTACCGAGTGTAGGATGATGTACGCTGAATTTCTCTCATCGGTTGAAAAAGGCGACTTCAAGGTTCAGCCTCCAAAGCCAAAACCAAAATCCGGCAAGAGGTTGTCTAAGAACAAGGACAAACGCACGCAGCGAAAGTCTGGTGGTAAAAGCGGAGAGAACCGTCGTGCAGACGACAAACCTTCGGATGACGCGGACAACGAAGCTTCTTCAGCAGATGAGGGGCAACCAGCAAGTCGTCAACATATTGAAGTAATACGATCTCAGCAACTTTTGTCGTCTGACGACGAGGACGATCACTCGCCAGTGTCAAGCGACCTGCGGAGCTTCCTCAAGGGAAAGGTGACGACATGCAGCGACGTCAACAGCACCGACCTCCGCCTCAAGCTCCAAGCCAACAAGTCGCAGCGTCTGGAAACCGCAGAGCCTCCCTTCTCGGTTGACAAGCCCGTCACCGATCTACATGACAAACTCAACGCCAACCTGACCGATTTACGCGTGCGGCTAAACCGTTCCAAATCGATAAATCAACGGCTAGAGCGGTCAACTTCGTCCCATAACATGGAACCATCAAAGCCGGACGACAAGAACGTCCCTGCGGATCTTCGTACATTCTTAGACATCAAACGAGTAACCGCGCAACCACGGCTGAATGTCATCATGGGTGGTTCACCTCCTTGTGGCGACTCTGTCCGCTCCGTCAAAGACTACCGGCGCCAAGCCGCGTCCTCGAGACGTTGTCCTGCGAAGCCACCGAGCCACACGCCAATCAGCTTTTCCCCCGACAATTTGAACGGAGTTCATTTGCCCCACAACGATCCTCTGCTAGTCGTCCTCGAGATCGGTAAGTACGATGTAACCAAAGTACTCATCGACACAGGAAGCTCCGTTGATCTCATCTTTCGTGATACGCTTGAAAAGATGGGGGTCGATTTCGACGACGTCAAATCGTCCTAACAAACTTTGACCGGCTTCAATGGCTCATCAGAAACCGTCCTTGGAACGATCCGTCTCCCAGTCCGTGCATGCGGAGTTACTCGGACGGTTAAGTTCGTTGTGGTAAACACCAAAGCCCCTTACCACGTCATTCTCGGAACCCCGTGGATACATTCGATGCAGGCAGTTCCATCTACCTACCACCAATACATCAAGTTCCCTGAGGTGGACGGAACAATCAAGACCGTACGCAGAGATCAGCAAGCCGCTCGAGACCTGCTGATCGCCACAGTCAAGCTGCAACGCTCATCATCCCCAGTCAACTCTGTCTCTCACCCGATTGCTCGAACTTTCCCTCAGAAAGATGAAGTTCTGGAGATGCCTATAGACGATTTCGATTCAAGTAAGACGGTGCGTGTCGGTGCATATCTAGCCGACGATATGCAACGAGCATTGCTCACATTCCTGAAGGAAAATGTGTTCACCTTCGCTTGGTCCATGACGGACATGAAAGGAATCGATCCAGCAATAACTACCCACGAGCTCAACGTCGACCCCACTTTCAAACCTATCCGCCAGCAAAGACGTAAGCTGGGCCCGGAAAGAGCGAAAGCAGTGAACGAGGAAGTTGAACGACTACTCGGAGCCGGCTCTATCCCAGAAGTTCGTTACCCGGAATGGCTAGCGAAACCTGTGGTAGTCAAGAAAAAGAACGGGAAATGGCGCGTCTGCGTCGACTTCACCGATCTTAAAAAAGCTTGTCCGAAGGATAGTTACCCGTTACCCAGCATCGACCGTCTCGTAGAATCAACCGCGGGAAACGGGATGCTCACCTTCATGGATGCCTTCTCGGGCTACAATCAGATTATGATGCACCCCGATGATCGCGAGAAGACAGCGTTCATCACAGACCGAGTAACATACTGCTATAAAGTCATGCCGTTCGGGTTGAAGAACGCCGGTGCTACCTACCAGCGACTCGTCAACCGCATGTTCGCCGACAAACTCGGTAACACCATGGAAATTTATATCGACGATATGCTCGTTAAGTCGCTTCACGCCAAAGATCACCTTAACCATCTGCGCGATTGCTTCGAAACGCTAAACAAGTATGGGATGAAGCTGAACCCAGCGAAGTGTACGTTTGGAGTCTCCTCATGTGAATTTCTAGGCTACATTGTTACCCAACGCGGCATTGAAGCCAACCCAAAGCAAATATCAGCTGTGCTCGACCTCCCAAGTCCTAAGAACAGCCGCGAAGTCCAGAGGCTAACCGGTCGCATCGCCGCTCTTAACCGATTCATTTCTAGGTCAACTGATAAATGTCTCCCTTTCTACGACCTTCTCTGTGGAAACAAAAAGTTCGTTTGGGACGAAAAGTGCGAGGAAGCCTTCTCCCAGCTCAAGAAGTACCTCACCACTCCTGCAGTCCTCGCAAAGCCAGACGAAGGAGACGTCCTCTCACTCTACATTGCCGTCTCTAGTGCAGCGGTTAGTAGGTCCTCATCAAGGAGGACAGAGGTGAACAGAAGCCAATCTTCTACACAAGAAGGCGTATGACTGGCCTGGAAACTCGGTACCCAGCTCTCGAGAAGATGGCTCTCGCCGTGGTAGAAGCAGCCAGAAAGCTGCGACCTTACTTCCAATCACACTCGGTTGAGGTGCTGACCGATCAACCTCTCCGAACTGTCCTGCAGAATACGAATCGCGCTGGTCGACTAACCAAGTGGGCCGTAGAACTCGGGGAGCTCTACATCACGTATAAAAATCGCACAGCCCTCAAAGCTCAGGTCTTGGCCGAACTAGAGCAGGACACCCAACTCCCGAGTCAGAACTGGATATTACATGTGGATGGTTCCTCAACGAACAAAGGTTCAGGTGCAGGTGTTCAACTCCAATCCCCAACAGGCGATATGATACGTCAATCGTTCAGCTTTGGCTTCTCGGCGTCAATAAACGAAGCTGAGTACGAATCACTGATAGCCGGCCTACGCTTGGCTAAGACAGTCAAAGCAAAACGAATAAGTGCGTATTGTGACTCTCAGCTCGTCGCCGG